AAGTTTTTATAAAAAATACATATCCTGACTTGAATTGATAAATTGTTATGCAAATTTCAAGTTTTTTGTTATTACATCACATGAAAAGAATGATATGTTCTTATTATTTTACAGAGTAAGTAAAGGTTACAATTTATACTAATAGCTTAATACCAAGAGCCTACATTATAGCCTACAATTAGACCTAATCATCTATGAATAAGGAAACAAATAAGTAAAGATTCAATTACAGTATTTGCCTAAACTGGATTTCCTATTCTGTGGTTGATTTCCTATGTGGTGCTTGGTTTCCTTTAACACTCCCCCTCAAGTTGGAGTGTATGTTAATTACACCCAACTTGCTAAGTAAAGTTCAAACTGTGTGGAGCTTAATGGCTTAGTAAACAAGTCAGTCGATTGGTGTGTAGTTTGAATATAGGCTATCTGAATCCTTCTTGCTTGAATTTTCTCACGTATCAAATGACAGTCTATTTCTATGTGTTTGGTTCGCTCATGAAAGACGGGATTCGATGCTATGTGCATTGCTGCTTGATTATCACAGAATAAGGTTTCCTGCTGTGTGTGATTTATCTGCAAGTCCTTCAAAATGTTTTTCAACCATGTAATTTCGCAGCATGTAGTAGCCATGGAGCGATATTCTACCTCTGCACTTGAACGTGATATTGTTGTCTATTTCTTGGTCTTTCATGAAACTGGTGCTTCTCCAAGTAAAATGCAGTAACCAATAACTGATCTTCTTGTGTCCTTACAACGAGCCCAATCAGCATCACAAAATGCTCGTAACTGAAGTGCACCTATGGATGGCAACAGGATGCCTTGCCCAGGTGTTTGTTTGATATATTTGAGCACTTTATAAGTTGCATCCAGATGTGGTTGGTGGGGCTTGTCCATGAACTAACTTAGGATGTGCACAACATAAGTCAAGTCTAGTCTAGTTATTATAAGGTAAAGTAACTTGCCAACTAACCTCCTGTATGTTGATCCATCTTCCAAAAGCTTTCCATCAGATTGTGTTAGGGACACATTTTGCTCTAAGGGAAACCGAGATGGCTTGACACCCAAAAACCCCATATCATCCAAAATGTTGAGTGCATATTTTCTCTGTAACAAACTAATGCCATGTTATGATCTGGCAACCTCGATGTCAAGAAAGTATTTAAGTTGCCCTAAGTCCTTAAGTTTGAATTGTTTGGACAACAAGAGTTTGATGTTCTCTATGTCCTGCAAATTATTCCCAGCTAATATCACATCATCAACATATATCAATAATGCTAGAAAGTTACCATGATGGCTTAGGACAAACAAGGAATAATCAGATAGGGACTGATGGAATCCTGCAGCCTTGAGTGCACCGGACAACTTGATAAACCACTGTCTAAAGGCTTGTTTTAAGCCATACAGGGATTTATGAAGTTTGCAAACACGTGTCTCCCCCTTTCGCCTAAAGCTAGGAGGCAAAGTCATGTATACATCCTCATCCAAGTCACCATGCAAGAATGCATTGTTGACATCAAGTTGATGTAAATGCCAGCCACGTAAAGCTACCATACTAAGTAAGAGGCGGACAGTGACCATCTTAGCTACGGGAGCAAAGGTTTCCTGATAATCAACTCCTTCAACTTGGCTGTAGCCCTTAACCACTAGTCGTGCCTTATAGCGTTCCACTGTCCCATTAGCCTTCAACTTGATTTTGTATACCCATTTGCAGCCGATCGGCCGTTTGTGGGATGGTAAGGTACCAAACTCCAAGTCCTAGTGGCCTGTAAAGCAGCTATCTCATGGTGCATGGCCTCACACCACTGAGGATGTTGAATAGCCTGTGAAAAACTAGTGGGTTCTTTGAGGAGAGTGAGTTGAGCAGTATAAGCTTTGTGATGGGGAGAAAGATGAGCATAAGATAAATAGGCAGAGAGGGGATAAGCAGTACCTGAAGTGTGAACCATGTTTGTGGATGATGTTGGGTCAGGCCTTGAAGGGAGAGTCATGGTAAGATGAAAATCCTGCAAGTAAGGAGTGGTGATAGAACAACTGCCACAATGAAGGGTAGGAATGGGCATAGGTGAGGAGGTGTTTTGTATGGGAGATAAATCGGGTAGTGGACTTGTAGTAGGACTAGTGGGAGATGGGGACTCTGTAAGGGGAGCTAGAGGAGTAGATGAGTTGGTAGAAGGATGGGTTTGGGAATTGGGTGAGCTAGGAAGTGGAGGACAGGGAAGCAAAGGAGGGGATTCAAAATGTATGTTGAAAGGTAAGGATGGAGTGGGAGTGGGGTTGGGAGGCGAAAATGATGGGGGATTAGTATGTGATGCAGATGTAAGAAAGGGAAATATAGATTCAAAGAAAACGACATCCTAGAGACTATTATTCGTTGTGTAGCTAGATCAAAAACTCTATACCCCTTTTTCCCATAAGGATAACCAAGAAAAATACATCGAGATGCTCGAGGATCCAATTTGGAGCAACTTTGGGCATTGGTGGAAACAAAACATAAGCAACCAAATACTCGTAAGTGCAAGTAATTGGGAACTATGTTGAAGAATGACACGACTAAAAGATTGATGTCTTCTCCTAAGTGCAGGAGTGTCGAAGTAATAAATAACCCGGCGAGACCGGGGTCGAACCACAAGGAGGTTAGTTGTACAAATTATAAA